CCTGTGCGCGAGGCCAGGAGCTTCCGTCGCTAGAGCTATAAAAGGGCACGAATACGTAGGACAATAATCTCTTGTCATGCAGTTTTTCGTGTTATGTTATTTAGTTATTAATCTAGATTATTGATAAGATGAAAATCTTATTAATTTTCTTTATTATAAAAGGGAATAACAATATGATAACATAGCATACGAAAACGATTGCAAAACATATTACCTTAAGTATGCTTAGTCCCTTGCATGGTTTATACGATATGATATGACGTGATTAGATATCTTAAGACAAGTTTGATAAGAATAAAGGGAAGGGCGGGAGATATATGTAAGATGTGATGGAAAGTCTTGCCCCCTGGCCCATTTGGCTTTTCACTATAAAGAAGTGTGTGATATCATCTCTCACAAGGTCATTGTCCGATCGGATGGTCCTGCGAGAAGACTTCGGATGGGATCTGTTTGTTTAATTTGTGTTATGTAGTTCTTTTGTTTTCTTTTCTTTTCTGCGTTCGGAAAGTGACTTTATGTAAAAACTGCATGCAGTATGATGCATGGTTTGATAAATAAATAAAGTTTGTGTGATAAAATGGACTTTGATTTGATCTGCTGCATAGTTTAATTTGGTACATGCATGGCTGGATCTGCCGACCATATCAATTATACTAAATTACGTTACGTGGAGAGGAGGTTTGACGGTATATGCACCCTAGTATGAGAGAGATGCAGGTAATAACGTTACCAGATGAGGAATGTTAATATTACAAGTGTATATAATCATAATTAATTTTTAGCAGAGAATTCCATAATGATTTGACTTAATATTATTCTAATTAAAGTTCAAGAGGCAAGTGCCCCTTGACCACATTGGTGAAAAAGTGTTTTGCGCTTGCATGAATTGCGTAAGTTCAAATCCAAACGATGACTAATCTAACATGTAACTTATTAACGCAATCACTCAAATAAAAATAAAAAATAAAAAAAGTTCGACAAGTCTTGTGTTGTTTGTCCAAGGGTGATCGTGGTTGACCGGTTAGTGAAGGTGTTAAGGGTGATGGTGTTGGTACGGTGGAGTTGTTAGTAGAGGTGATAAATCAATTTATTAAGTTGTTCATAGGTATCCATTAAGACTTATTTAATTTAATTTTATACTATTAGCATCACTACCAATCTCACATCTATTATATAATGATATCAAATTAAACGAATCTTAAGCGATACTCATTAACAACCCAATGATTAATTTGCCACCTCTAGTTACTAGTGATAAAGTGATAGGATGGGGGTGGTAGTGGTCTTATGACATGGTGGTGTTTGTGGTCGATCATATGATTGTTTTCTATTTTATTTTTTCAAAAGATTGTTGCTATTTTTTTTTATCATAGTCTTTAAAATTTAGAAATAACAATTATTTTTTCAATAATGCTATTATTATTACGTTTGTGTACTACAATTGTATACCATATCAGATTGTATCTGATGTGGACAGCTACATCATTTAAATTAATCAAAATTTAACTTCAATTAGAAACTATTAATAAACCAATAATTAAGAAAAAACCGGTTAATTAAATTATATATTAATATGTTATCCAAAGTTTTCATTGCCATATACAACTTAGTTCCTCAATAATGCACTACAAATCTTATCCATGGTAACCAAATCAAGAGATTTTTTTTTCACTTTCAGATTAAGCTTTTTATCACTTTCAAATTAGGCTTTTTGATCACTTTAAGTCAAATTAGGCTTTTTTATCACTTTCAGATTAAGTAACAAACTTAATTAAAGTAAGTCTACTTGCCATAGAAAGCATTTTCCTAATACAAGGAGACAACTTTATCTAAACTTTATCCACCACATATTGATAAGTTGCACTATTAACCCTTTTATGCAATAAAGGAACTCCAAGATATGTCCCAAGCGAGATAGCCACATTTGAGCGGCATATCTTGCTGATTTTACGAGCCACTCTTCTCCTAGTATTCAAAGAAACAAAAAACTTTGACTTATCAAAATTTATTAATTCACCAGAAAAAGCACAGAACTTAGCAATGCACGACTTGACAATCTTTGCTGGTGAAATAGTACCTTTAGTAAAAACAAGAAGATAATCTGCAAAAAATAGGTGGGAAATACCAAGACCTCTTCTTAAGACTTCTGGCAGGTTTCCATTTTTATTATTAACTTCATGGGTAATCAAATGACTTAGCTTCTTCATACAAATAACAAAAAGGTAAGGAGAAAGAGGATGTCCCTGTCTTATATCACAACCTGGTTGAAACGCATCAGTAAGTTCACCATTAACAATAGCTCTGAAATTGACATAATTTATACAACTTAAGATGATCTAGAGTAAACTTCCATTAATACCAATTTCAAAAAGAATATAAGCAACAAAACCCCACGATAATGTGTTATAAGCATTAGATAAATCAAATTTTCAAGCCAAGAAGCCATTTTTTCCTCTAGCAAGCTTAAATTTATGTAAAACTTCCTGAGCTAAAGCACCAGAAACAAAATTAAATTAATTTGGGCTAATAATTTTCTCCATTATAGGCTGCAACTTGCAAACCAGAAGTTTGGCAACTACTTTATACATTGTATGTAGTACATAAACTGGTGGGCCTAATTAGAGTCATAAAAATTGGATTAGGAACTTTAGGTAATAAAGTGCTAAGCGTTTCATTTATACCAAGAGGAATTTTGCTATGCTAAAAAAAATATTGAACATAAGTGATGACGCCGTTAGCACTACGATCTCTAAACTTTAACAACTTGAGCATTAAGATCTCTAACTTCTTCCTCCAACAACGGGGGTGGAAAAACAAAAACTTAGGCATTACGATCTCTAACTTCTATCAGTGAACAAATCTTTGAAATAATTAACCACCACAGCTTTCAGATCCTGTTGACCCTCCTTCCAAACACCAGAACCATCTTCAAGTCCTTCCAACCTGTTTTTCCTCCTTCTAATAAGAGTAAACATATGAAAGAATTTGGTGTTTCTATGCCGTCTTTAAGCTTAGAAACTCTGAATTTTTATTTTTTTACAAAAACATGCTTCCTGATCATTTAAGATTAATAATCTTGGAATAACTTATCTTCTAAATCAATGAGAAAGCTTCACATTCAAAGCTTTTTGGATACCTTGGATTTGATAAAAAAAAATAAAGTTCTTATGAAAAAAAATTCCCAAAGATCTCCTAATTCCACTTTTGAAGAACCCCTCTTTAAACGCATTGAGTTTGAAAGCAATATCATGGTTATTGGTATACCAATTAGGATGCACATGTTCTTCGAAACTCTCATGTTGCAGCAACATGGCCTCAAATCCAAAAGGTTTGAGAGTAGCTCAAGAAACTTTGTTTAATAACAAACTGATTAATAAAGAATTGTGATCAGAGCTAAGCTTGGGTAAATGCTTCACGAAAGTATCAGGAAAAACAACTCTCCAAGAAGGATTACAAATAGCCTTGTCAATACGCTGCTTAATAACCTCACTGAAATACCTCTTGTGACCTAAGTGTACTTACTGCCCATAAAACCCATATCAATCATACCAACATTATCAAACCAGCAAAAAAAGTCCAGCCTCCAGCCTCCAGCCTCCATCATATATGGAAGGAATGAAGATTCCAGCCTCCATCAAGGAAGGAAGCCAGTGGAAGTCCTACCAACAATACTGCCAACAAAGGCAGATCGTGAGAATGAGGTGGTGCGAACACTCGAGTCGGTGCGAACACCATAACTCTACACACCTTCGCAATGAACCGCAACAGAAGGCGGTCAAAAGTAGTTGCAGGCCGGGATTGAAAAGAAATTGATGAAGGATAGAGCCAAATTATGTTGATCAAACAGAATATGGATAGGTAACAGAGAGGAAAGAAGATAGGATGGTGGATCTGAGGACAAAAACTAGTTGGATCAACGATTTGTAGGGTGAAAGGACCTTGCTGTTGAGGAAGGAGAGCAGGGGAGAAAACATATGAGGAAAGAAGGTAGAGAAGGGAAAAGAAAACATAAAGAAGAAGAGAAAGGCTGCCACCAACCCTGACCATAGCTAGGGCCGACGGCCGGAACGCAAGACCTGAAACTAATGACCGTCACACACAGTGAGACCAACTCTCAAAGAGAGAGAAGTAAATACCTTTTAGACATCAACATTGCCATTAACCAAATCAATTGTAGAACAAACAAAATTCTCTACGCCAACCCATCTAACATTCTCTATACTAAGGTATACTAAGGTGTATTCAATTGAGAATTTGGGTAATTTTAATGGATTTATAAATTTATAGAGTTTAATTGATTTGTAGAGATTCCATGAAATTTTTTTATTCAATTCATTTGAAATCTCAGGGGAGATAAGATATTTGTGAATGCTTAAGTTGCACTACAAAACCCCTCTAATTCCCACAAATTCCTCAACTTTTAAAAACTATTCAAAATAAATTCTTAATTGAATACACCTGGATTGCAAGTGGTCATTTACCACAGTGATGGAAATGTGTTAAGCCCCCATGACAGGGTGGGTTCAAACCCCGTCGGTGGCTAATCTAACATAATCTATCATTTGATAAAAAAAAAATAATAATAATAATAAAAACCTCGGGGCTATTTAAATTTTTTTCTTTAAAAAAAATAGAACAATTGGTAACAAGCTACGATTATCCACCATTTCCGTTTGATAAAAATAAAAAAATTAAAAAAAAACCTCGAGGCTATTTAATTTTTTTTTCTTTAAAAAAAAGGAGACAATTAGTGGTAAGTCACGGTTATCCACTATTTTCGAGGGTCAAAAAGACTCATAGAGGCATTTCAGCTTCCCTTTCTACACCAAGAGTGGGTTTTGAATCCGAGTCCTCCAATTTTTAGTTAGAACGAAGGCTCACAATCCACCATTTACTACTAAACCACTTTAATTTGCGGTTTGGTGGGTCCATTTTTCTGTGCTTAATATTGTAATTGGGACACTTCTTGTACCTTTGAACAAAAAAGAACCACCAATTAATGGGCCGAGTGTAAACTTCAAACCTGAGATCCAGTTCCGTTATCCATGTCCAGTGTGGGTAAGGGCGTCACCGCGTTAAAATAAGAAAAACAAATTTTGGAGGGAAATGAACAGCGGAAGACAAACGATTCTTCAATCCTCTTCGTCCTCTCCAAACTCCAATCCACTCCAGCGACTCTGATTTTTTCCAATTTTCCAGATTTATTTCCATTGATATTCTTGCCATGGCAGATTTGTCATCCGATTACGGAGGAGAAGTGAAACGGTGCCCTATTCACCGCAAGCGACCGAGACCGCCGAGAAGCGAAGCGAGTACGGCGGTTTCGGTCCACGTGAAGCAGCTCGACGTCCCTCTCACGTGTCCGGAAACCGGTTCTCCGGTCGATTCAATTTGTCTCCAACCGGATCGCCCTTACACGATCGGGCGGAGCAATCGTGGTTGTCATTTCGTCTTCGCCGATCGCCGTGTGGGTAAGAAACATTGCCAGATTATTTATAATTCTTTTGATCGGAAACTGTATGTTATTGACGGCGCATTGATTTCGGTTCCTCAATTTAGGAATCGATTGGAATTGGAAGAGTGTTGTAATGTTAGGGTTTCTTTGAATGGGGTTTTTGTGAATGGGATTAGGGTTAGGGAAGGCGTGGCGGTGGAGTTGTCGGATGGAGACCGGGTCTCACTCGGTTGCTCAACTGAGAATTGTTGTAATCCGATTCGGATTGGATTTGTTGTTAATAAGATTGTTTGTGAGGACCAAATTGTACAGAGTTTTGATAACCCCCAAGGACCCGTTAAACCTTTATGTGTATCATGTCCATGGGGACGTAAGAGGGTTTTTGCTTCCCGGGCTGAGGGTTCTCCGTCTTCAATCGTTGGAAGAGCAAACTTTCTCTTAAGTGAGTGCAGGCACATTTTGCTTAGCAATGACCCTATATCGTATATTCGAAAATGTTGTAGATATTCTTTTGAGAATGGATTTATACGAAGTAATGATATAGGAGAATCTCCAGGTCTCGATACTGATAGGCTTCCGCTTAACGGGGAAAAATCATTGTTGTGTCAAACCTCACACATAGATTGCGATGTGAAAAATAAAATGCAGTTCACTTCAGTCATGCATCAGTGTGAAAATGTAGTGGCTTCAGAACCAAATGGTGTCATCTTACATAAACAAGACAATGCTCAAGTTCCCTCTGAGACTGCTGTTGCTGATGGGAATCTTGAGACTTCATCTTTCAATTTTACGGGTAGGGAAGACCCTCCTAATTGTGATGGTATTGTCAAGAACAAAACCCGGTGCAGAAATGTTGCTTCACAACCTGGCAAGAACTTTTACTTGAATCGCCTTTCTTTTATGGGCCACAACTCTTCAACTTCAAGTCAAGATTCCGTTATTTCCTTGCCCGAGCTTCTTTATCCTGTGCAAAGTATTTCACAGATGTTTATTGCAACATTTACAAGTGACATTTTGTGGTAGGTTAACCATATGTTTTTTCATACTTTGTTGTTGGCATGCCTACCTATGAATTGTTTATGCATCGCCCTAGTAGTTTCTCATTCCATTTGGCTTCTCCTTTTTATTATATTATATATTTCACTCATATGTTTCACCTCAAGTACTCTTTTCAATCCTAACTGTCTAATGGTGGTGTATGGGTAGGTTTTTGTCATCCTGTGAGATTCCTAGCCATCTGCCAGTTACAGTTGCTTGTCATAATACTGAAAGATGTTGGAGTTCAAGCCCTAATAAAAGAACATCTTCACCTTATCCAGATTTTCCGAAGTTAGTTTTAGTGTGAGTAATTTGTCATATATCTCGTTCGTTAATGGGGCACTTATATTGTGCACAAGACCTTTATTTTTATTTAACAATAATCATTTTTATGGTTTTCATAATAATAGGTATCCCCCGTTTCCCGAGGCCATAGCTTTTGGTAATGACCGCAAGAGACATGGAATTGCTTGCCATCATCCAAAATTGTTGGTCCTGAAAAGAGATGATAGTATTCGTGTCATCATTACCTCTGCAAATTTAGTGTCAACACAGGTGCTTGTGCAGTTTGAAGTCCTGTTATTTATATTCTATTATTTTGATGTTAATTACATTTCCTATTTGCAAAAGGTCACTTCTAATTTATTTAAGAACTTTGGGAATAATGTAATTGCAACTTGGAATGCATGTATGCTTTGATTTTTATTAATAAAGAAATGTCTGGAAAATTTTATGGAATGTGCAAATTTTTGTTTCTCAATTATAAGAAAGCCTATCGATGATGGATAAATGCAAACTCTTATGTTTATTAATTGAACATTCTGTCACAATTTCTGCCATGTCATTTTCAGCACAGATTACTAATTGCTTCTTATAACTTAGCAGTGGAATGCAGTGACCAATACTGTCTGGTGGCAAGATTTCCCTTGTAGAAGCGCACCTGATTATACTTCCCTTTTTACTCAATTCCACGATGGGGAAACGAATCAAGACTCAAAAACAGATTTTGCTTCTCAGCTGGCTGGATTTATGGCAATGCTACTGACTGATGTACCTAGTCAGGCCCAGTGGATTGTTGACTTGACAAAATATGATTTTGGAGGTGCAACTGGACATTTAGTTGCTTCTGTTCCTGGAGTTCATTCTTATAAAACTCCCTTTATGTTGGATTCCAGGCACTTCGGGCTTGTAAGTGCTTTCATTTGTGATGTGTGCAGTCCAACATCATCTATACATATGTTATTATTATTATTATTATTTTTTGAATAGGAAAGCTGATCTCCAAATGTCAACACCACCTTGACATTTTCTTATCCAGAACTATAGACATTTGTCTTTTTATTGAATTATTCTCTTTGAATGTGACCCAGAAACTCAGTTGATCCATGGCATTAGGTAGTAATATGTTTCAGTGTTTTTCTTGTAAGTCAAACTTAATGAGTTTTTCATAATTTATTTTACCGTATGGGCAGGGAATTCATTAAATGCCCACTTTTCAAACATACAAAAAAGTCCTAAATAGGATTTAGCTCAATTTTGGTGGTTGCATTTTATCAGTATCAATAGGGAAGACTTCAGATGTTTTTTTTTTCAGTGGCTGCTTGGTCAAACTACGTTTCTAATTCTGTTACTAATTTTTATGTCAGGCTGATCATGGTGCGTCATCTGGTGCAAAATTCCTTGGATCTGTTGAAGCATCTGTAGTTGGTCTAAGCTACCTCTTTCGCAATGCAAAAGACTCAAATGGTGCAAAGCTTAAGAAATTGGCTTCATTTCTGAGGAAATCATGTGAACATGCAAAAGCTTTATCAATTGTTTTAACAAGAAACACAAATGTTCCTGCAGATGCAAATGCAGTGAATATTGTTGTTCCTGACTCCAATGAGGGAGGTAAATTCACATTGCTTTTAAAAAAACAGTCACTTATAAATTTATTTTTATGTACTTTTGGTATCAGGTGTTGTTTGCATAATATAATTATAAAATTGTATGAATGGGGATTGTTTCTCTTTTATTGCATGCAGGATGATTGTTCTATTTGTCTATCGTGAATCCTCTAAATGTGTGAATGTGGTTAAGTTGTGACCCTTGATGCTGTTGGTTACCTAAGTAGAGTAACTTCTTTGTTTGTTGTAGCAGACTCTGTTCAACTTGGCTTCTTGCCTAGAAATGTTGCAAAATGGGTCTCTCCACTGTGGGATATTGGACTCTTCAGCTTCTCTGGTTATATCTGTCCTAAAGAAGCTCTTACAGCAGCTTTAGGAGGAGGAAACAGCAAGAAAGTGCAACTGATACTGCATGTGTCACAGGTATTCTATTCTGCATTATTGATATGCTTTGTGGAGTCATGAACTGGAGCTTACTCTAAATGCTAGCACGAAGACTTCGATTTGGAATGTGCATTTATGATAAACATAATGCTGCTTTTTGCAGGGACCCAAGTTTGAGGATATATCAAATATCATGGAATCTCAACATATTTTTGCATTATGCTCTCTGATTGGTGCCGTTCAAAGGTGTACAGGCCTCTGGCGACTGCAGGAGGTAATAGCTCCGATATTCTTAGTTGTCAAATTTCAGTTTATACTTCCATGATTAAATGTTTATATGCAACTGATGCTGTTCAGTGCTTCCTAGTTTATGTTGTTGTTGCAGTATCTTATGCAGTATTTTCTCTTTATCAGGTTTTAGGTCAGTATAATTGGCCCGAATCACTTGACTCTGATTTTGTTTATGGTGAGTGTATCTTATCTTATCTTGAACAATCTTAATCTATTTTAGAATTTGGAATATATATATCATTAACGAAAAGAGAAACTCCAAAGACACGTTCTGATTATTCAGTTGGATTTTTTTTAAGGCGCATCCTCAATTGGGTCAATCAATGCCAAATTTTTAGCTGCATTTTCAGTAGCTGCAGGAAAGAAATCATTGGAATTCGAGTCTGAAGAGTCCGATCCAGAGGTAATTAGACACTCTGTCCTTTTATAGAAATTCTTGAAGAGTTTATGTCATGTTTATTCATTTACCTCTGGAGTTCTCTATACTCTTAACAGTGGGGCTGTTGGAGTGCTAGTCAAGAATCAAAAAGTCCATCCATTAAAATTGTTTTTCCTACCATAAAAAGAGTGAAGAATGCATGCAATGGAATCTTTCCTTCAAAACGCATTCTTTGCTTCTCTGAGGTATGTGATCTTTCAGCTTCTTGCAATATCGGTTTTATCTTATATTTCCGGATTATTATCTGCATTGGTTTAGCACTATTTGTATTCAAGTTTAAAAAGTTATTGTGAATCCGTAACTGATGGTTAGGAATTTTTTCTTTTTCAGTGATAGGGTTTAGCCCTTACATCTTACTATTTGTTGACAATGTACAATTTTTTTATTTCCTTAGAAAACATGGCAAAGGCTGAGGACTATAGACATACTTCATGATGCAATTCCTCACCCCTACGATAGAGTAGGACATCCAATGCACAGCAAGGTATGAATTTATCGCAAGAGGCATCTGGCATCTTGTCTTACACTTACACTGCCATATGGATAATATTGTAGCATCTTATCTGCATTACATTTCTAATATATGCAGGTGGCACGGAGACGCTTCCACTCAAAGACAGACGGATCTTCATTTGGTTGGGTATATTGTGGTTCCCATAATTTCAGTGCAGCGGCCTGGGGACGACCAATCAATGGTCCATTTGGTTTAAACATGAACGGACTAGGGAAAGCCAACTCTACTTTGGGTCAGATGCTTCATATTTGCAACTATGAACTTGGGATCATTTTCACCTTTCCCCCAACAGACACAGATGGTAGCGCCAACAAAAATAGCGCAAAATTGGATAATATTGTTTTGCCATTCATTGTGCCTGCTCCAAAATACAGGCGAGGAGACAGGCCAGCAACAGGGAAGGCTATGAGGGAGGCATTAGCCGAACTTACTGAACAAGAGAGACAAAAACTTTTAGAAGCAGCTACAATCGAGGAAATTATGGAAGAGACTCCAGACGAAGATGAAGTAGTTGAGGCGGATGATTATGTTGCAGAAGAGAAGGAAGAGGAGAAGGCTTACGCCAAGATACTTTGGAGCCAAGTAGACTCATCCGAGAGCAGTTGAATCTCCATTTGGAGTGAAATGCAATCACCCGGAGCAGAAAGAGTTAAGCACCGCAGCTGCTTATTTATGCAAGATAGAAATCTTGCCGTGCATATATCATTAAGACATGCACTGTCCCATCTTCCTGCTTAAACCGTTGATCTCACTGACAAGGCGAGAAGTAGATTTGGTGCGTCATGTCTTTGGAGGAAATAAAAACCGAAACTCGCCAACTCGGTATCCTCCAAATTGGTAACGACATCTATCCTCTAGCATTTTTTACCTTGATCAATTTGCTGGTGGCCTGCTAGTAACTTTAGTTTCATGTCTTTCGTGTTTCAGGCCCTGGAAAGTCAGCTGGATTATAAAAGCAGCAGGGCTGCATTTTTTAGGGCTCAAAATTGATATGTAACAGAAATATATGTACAAACCAAACTTTTATATGATGGAAGGGAAGTTTGGCAAACTTAATCCCATGACATTTCCAATTCAACCCTTACCCAACTCAACAAAATCTGCATTCTTTGAGGGATGAAATTGGTATTTAGCAGGTCCTAGTGTATGAAATACAAGAACCAACCTTCGTAACATGCTGGAAAGGAGAGTTGGGCAAGTGTTTGTCCTTATAGACTGACCTCAACACATGCCCAATTGAAACGAGAGATTTATGGTTGTGATTGTAACACCGTCACGTAAGTGGTGGATATCAACTTGTATTCTAATGTATTTTGTTAACTAAAGAAGTGTGGTATCCACACATCTTTTTTTGTTTCTCACACCCTTATAATTTCCGGCCGTCGGATTGGATGAATTGAAGAAGATTAATGGACAGAAATCAACAAGGGGTGTGCGAGAAGTAAAAAATAGTGTGTATGGATAGTACACCCCTAACTAAATACTATACCCTAAAACATAAAGCTCATCATCTACCCATATATGGACATGTGGATAGTACTCCATGACGGTTTCATAGTCAAACAAACGAATCCAGATTGGCGGATCCTTTTGTGGGGATACTGGAGATTCGTGAATCGTGTTCGTTTATCGTATATCATGCGATCAAAAATTATTTTAAATATTTTTAATTAAAATTAAACATAAACAGTACTTGACAAAAACTGAGCTCACGATATATGATGAACGAACATGATTCACAGATTCCTAGAATCCTCAACAAAAGAATCCGAAGAGGATCCTGTTGGCAAACAGACAGTTAATCTTGCATTTTAAAATTAAAAATGCTACATAATAGTGCACGATTGACTTAAAATAACCTTTCTCCGGTATGTATCTGCCAGTCAGCCGCCCGAATCTGTGAGAAAGAAAGATAAAAAACCGAAGTTGTTTTCTTTAATCCGGACAAAAGAAAGAGTTGTAGGAGGAGGAGAAAAAGCAACAGTAGCAACGTGCACAAAGAGCAAAGGTTGACGTGTCGGCCCATTGTACTCATACCTTTCGTCCACCCCTCTCCTTCCTTTCCTTTCCTTGCCGTCTTTCTCTCATCAAGGTTTAAACTTGAAACCTAATTACTTTTCTACTTTTTTGCAAAAAAATGGGAAGCAAGCGAAAAAATGGTACTTTGGGGACTTGTCAAACGTGGTTCTGTTCTGTCCTCACCCAAGTTCCTGAATGAGGATCTTCTCTAGATCTTCTTTGTGAGGATTTTCTTTGTAAGGATTCTGAATGGAAATCTTCAAATTGTATGCATTTATCGTACATCGTAAGGTCATAAATCATTTTAAATATATTTATTTAAAATTAAATATTAATAATATTTGATAAAAATTGATCGCACGATATATGATAAATAAACACGATTTGAAACTGGATCCTCACAAAGAGAATCGTGAGGATTCTCATTCCAATTTCCTTAACGTATTGGGCAATTGAGCGGTGGACGGTTCCGACTTCAAACTAAAACGTGACTTTGCTCTTCCAATCATGAGCCACTCTTTTGTTTTGGCAGGCAGGCAGGCAGCGCTCATATGCTTACTTTCTAGTCAGCCGTATGTTCCCTTGTTCAAATTGGGTACACCGTACACATGTTTATTAACTTCTGAATTGGAGGGAATTTTACGTACGACTAACCGCATGCAAATGATAACTTAGGTAATTTCGGTTTTGCATTTGGTCATACAGATATTTGACTTGTCAAACATTAAAGTTTTTTATAATCTATGATAAGACTGATCAAATAAATTAAGGTAAAAATATTCTTGAGTTCATTTAGTTAAAACCACAATAGTATTCGAAATCTCCACACTCTTTTTCTTAGCAATTTATTGGACTAAATATGTTGATAAATTTTAGTTTAAGAAGCATTGATTATGATTGGGAGAGAGTATAAAAAGAAAAGAGAAGAAGGAAGAAGTGTTTGCTTTCGCTTGGAAATGAAGAGATCTCTTGGACGTGGTTAAACATTAGCATCAATCAAGACACCTTTCTTTCGTCTTCAGCTTAACAAATTTATCATTTTATACAATTTTTTGGATCCAATAATCCTCCATTTATTCTTTACACTATTTTTTCAAAGCAAACCCAAACCTTCCCACCTTCCTCTCTCTCTCTCTCTCTCTCTCTCTCTCTCTCAAAGTCAGAGCTCAGGAGAATGCAAGTGTCATCGTCGTCGTCCTCCTCCGTGCTGATTCCTTCACTTCAATGGTGGACTCCGTCTCTAAATTCTTCTACTTCTAATTGTTGCTGCACTCAATTCCTCCGTTATGATCGCAGCCGAAGCAGAAGTAGCGGCGGCGGCAGGCAAGTCTTCTCTCTCTACCCAATTCGCCTCGCCAACCCATCACCCCCTTTTGCTTCTTCTTTCCTTTCCCCCTTCAAAGCTCGCACCTTTCCCACCGGCCCCACCGGCCGGCGAAAAACCAAGCTCCGGATCGTCGCCGCCGTCTTCGAGCGGTTTACGGAGCGAGCAGTCAAATCCGTCATCTTTTCCCAAAGAGAAGCCAGAGCTCTCGGCAGAAACATGGTGTTTACCCAGCACCTGCTTCTGGGTCTGATCGCCGAGGAGGAGCAGCACCGCCATCTTCATCCGAATTCCCACGGCTTTCTGGGCTCGGGCATCTCTATAAAGCAGGCCCGGGAAGCTGTTCGCGCCATTTGGCACCACCATAGTCAAAGTCAGACTTCTGCTTCTGCAGAAGTTGATCCTTCTAGCCGAGCTGCTTCCTCTTCCGCCACTGATGTCCCCTTTTCAATTAGCACAAAGCGGGTCCTCGAGGCGGCGTTGGAGTATTCGAGAGCTAGAGCTCACAACTTCATTGCGCCGGAGCACATTACCATTGGTTTATTCACCGCTGATGATGGAAGTGCTGGTCAGGTCCTCAAAAGGTACTTTTTTGTCCTCAATTTTGTTTTTCTAATTTTTGTAATTGGGTTGATTAGCTATGAATTTCCTTTGTTCGAAATGCAGTGTGGAACATATGATTTCAAAACTTGGTAGAAAGAAGTATGATGTGCCTATACTTGTTTACTATGGGGTCCTCTATATGCTCCATGTGTTTGTGTTATGAATGGTGGGAATTGGTTATTTTCTTGTCAATAACTACCTTATGCATTTGTCATGCTTCGACGAGTTTGCAATTGCATGGTACATAACCGAAAAGTTGTACCTTGTAATGAAATTGTGTGACCTGAGAGAGAGGGATAGAGAGCATATGACATCTGTACGGGCTGCATTTACATGATTTCATTTTTGGGGACGAGGTTTAAGGTGCGAAAGTGTATATGAGTTTCCATTCTGAAGCTAATAAATGAATGCGATTTCAGACTGGGGGTAGATGTAAACCAGTTGTTAGCCGAGGCAGCCTCGAGGCTTCAAGTAGAGCTTGTCAAAGATGGTAGAGAACCATCTGGGGGATTTCAAAAATCCCTTTCCAAAAAATCAACTGCTTCTGGGAAAAAGAAAGGTAAGAAGTAGGTTTGCTCGTCTCTATTGTTTAGTTTTTTTGCTACAAAATCAGAGGGAATTGCCCTGTAATTCCTCTGTCTTCTCAGATAAAAGTGCTTTGGACCAATTCTGCGTGGATCTTACTGCTTGTGCTAGTGAGGGACTCATTGATCCTGTTATTGGCCGAGACACTGAAGTTCAGAGAATTATTCAGATACTTTGTCGCAGAAGTAAAAATAACCCCATTCTTCTTGGTGAAAGTGGGGTTGGAAAGACGGCCATTGTTGAAGGACTGGCGATTAGTATTGCACAGGCGGATGTCCCTGCTTTTCTCCTGGTGTGTTCTCACAAATGATTTATATTCCTCTAGCTCATCTAACTGATCTAGCTTATCTAGCTCTACACTCTCATCCCAATTCAGTTGCTTATACATTAAATTTAATGTAGCTGCATATTAATAATTTGATTAGCCTTATTTTTCCACAGGAAAAACGTGTAATGTCCTTGGATATAGCACTATTAATGGCTGGTTCAAAAGAGAGGGGGGAAATGGAGGCGCGTGTTACCACATTGTTAAGTGACATAAGAAAAGCAGGTGAGTAAACATTTTTCAGTTATTTATATAAGAAAATAATCAATTCCTGTCTGCTCATTCATGATGTGCTAGCATTGCAGGAAACATTATTCTTTTTATTGATGAAGTACATACCCTCATTGAGTCTGGAACAGTTGGACAAAGAAATAAGGGGTCTAGTCTTGACATTGCCAATCTAATAAAACCGCCCCTTGGGAGGGGTCAATTACAGGTTATTTGTCTACTTCGCCTTCCTTCAATCTTGTTCTATATGTAATTTTAGTGACCGTCCTCATGTATTGGCATGACATCTCGTCATAAATATTAAATCTAGTTAGTGAAGGCATCACTGACACTTAATTGGAAGCCATTAGTCATCTATATGATCAGTCGTTAACTGATCTTCGCAATATAGGGCATTGACCTATGGCGTTATGCTTAGTGCTCGACTTATGGGGTTATCTTAGTGCTTGACCCAGAGATCCTTTGAATAAACGTCTTCATGCATTGAAGAGAAAGTCTAAATTGTATGCCAGAAGGGATTTAAGCATGAGATTGAGAGATTGCTAAGAACTAATAGTGACAGATAACTTGTTGATAATGATGCTTGCACCCAAAGCCAAGTACAGGGATATAAGCATTTGATTGACACTAGTTCTTATTACCAAATATAATTACTAATGTTGAACTCAAGTCTAGTTCCTTTTCTCTTTGGATTATGATGTAATTGTCTTAACCTTCACAAGTAGATATAATAATTCAAAGGTACGTTTTCGTTTCTTGTTCTTATTTCAGTCAGTGATGTTGGAAAGTGACTCGGTACACTTTCTAAGTTTCTAGGGCTATTATCTCATTCATTCATGCATTATTGCTCTGAGTAGCTGAAGTTATTTTATTGAATGAATCTTGGCATACAAAGATAGGAAGTCCAGATTTTTTGTGATCCCACCGTAGTTTTCTTTGTTGTTACATGGAAATGGAATCCAAATCAGTTATGTTGGAGCAATGCCCTGATTTTGTGTTTAAGATCTGTGCTTGT